CTTTAGTCTTACACTGCTAAATTAGGGACGGCTAACGCAGGTAGCCCTCGTGTAACTTGAAGAGATAAAATAGAGGAAAACCAAATATAGTCCATATCGCCTCACGGTGTGACATGGACTGGCCATAAAGTTTTAAACATAATTTTGCGGCAACAAAACGAGAACCAAGGATACGGACTCACAATCTGGCAGCTAAGAACTAGGCTACGATGAACTGGAGGTTACGAGATTAATCTGTTTTCGGTCAAAATGCGTAAAATATTTTGTAAAAACTTAAGCGGTCTAAGTTTTTCTTGAAAGAGTATTTTGAGTAAAGTATCATTTGGATACTGATCTCCTTTAAATATATCCGAATTAATTAGAGAAATAAGGATCTACTTTACCCCTGTAAAAGCGTTTTGTTGATAAGATGATAAATTATTCGGGAGAAGTTTCAGATCCTGGCGTTTTGCATTTTCAACAACAATGGACTTAAATGATATAGCATTATTATTAAATAAAGTATTAAATCACGAAAATGTATATTAGTATTCAAATATCTACTTTCTAAAATAAAGATGCCTTATTCCTCTGTTAATAAAATAGCTAGTTATCAGTATTTAATGATTCACAAAAAAAAATCACATATTCAGTCAGCATTAAAAATATATGCAGATATTATTATGGATATGACAGAAGGTTGTTTGTGAGTTTACTTGTTGTAAGGTGCAAAATTACACAATGTGATATGGCCACGGAATGGATCAAATCACGAATTTTAGTGTTAGATGCTCTCTAGATTAGGGCTGAATTAGGTTGGAGGCTGCATACACGATTAAATGTATATTTCTGTCTTGTTTAGTGGAACCCACAATACACAGGAAAACTGTGATTATTGTGCTGGGAGTGCAGCTTCCCGTTACCATAAAAACACGCCCCATATTTTGGGGGTGTGAATATGTTATAAGAGTGACGGCGAAATCCCATTATTCGGAAGAGTCAGATTTTATTTGGTTTTGAATTTCGCTCAAAGCTACACGAGGGCTATCTGCGCTAGCCGTCCCTAATTTAACAGTGAATAACTGGAGGGAAGGCAGCTAGTTATCACCACCCACCGCCAAATATTGGGATACTCTTTTACCAACGAATAGTGGAACTGACCGTCACATTATAACGCCCCCACGGCTGAAAGGGCGAACATGTTTGGTGGAAGGAGGATTCGAACCCTCGATCCTCAGATTGCGAGTCGAGCACCCTAACCACTTGATCATACCGGAATAGTCAGTTTTTTAAATATAGATAAAAAGTCCCTCGATGGCTCAGCGGTAAACTTAAGGGTTTATAACGCTAAAAATTGGGCTCAATCCCATAAAGCTTTAGTCATCGATAGTATGAATTGAATAACAGATAAATTTATAACTTCAAATCAAACTGGGGCTCCATCAAATCAACGTCTGGGTCTGAAAAGCGATTATATATTATTTTGAAATATGTTTTTTGTGTGTATTTTTTGTGCTGGTCTACGTATAAGGAATAACGTTAATTGCGAATATTTACAAAATAATAATATAATAATTACTAATACGCTATGTCATGCAAAATAATATTCACTAAGAATGCAGTTAAAAGAATTATACATCACGCTAAAACCATTGCCCTCCGAATTCTGTATACTTAATAACTACTGTGTATGTAAAAGCTATTAAGGTGAGTTTTTTTTCTCTTTCAAATTCTTTTTCTGGATTCCAGGCACATAAAATAGATATAGCTATTTCAATAAATGTATCACGTATAATTGTATTCCACTTTAACATTGTTCATAACAGTTATAATATTGTTACGTCTCCGTTTGTTAGTTAACTTTCCGTAACTTCGTTCCGACGAAATTTAGTCGACACAAGTACCTTACTTAATAAAACTAGTTTAGTTATTTCT